ATCACACAAATCTAATGGAAAAAAAGAATTTTATTTTTTTTCCCGCTCTCCACAAAAAAATTTATTTATAAAAACTCAAACAATGAAATAAAAAAGTCTGGCCTTAATGAGTCAACTAGTTTAACTGGTATAGTACTGTCAGACAAGCAAAGATTATGGTGAAAACAATACTATGGCTACTTACACTGATAATTTCAGATCACAAAGTTTAATACCACTTCTATCAATTGTATTTGACTTATTAATAAATCACAATAAATAGCAATAAGTATGAACTTTATTTACGTTCACTTTAATCAAAATACTCTCAATTTTCACCCCAGGCCATGCAGAAATACAAAAAACCTGAATGGACAAGGGGGGACCCTGTAAATGTAAATGTATTTGGATTATATGGCTAACATTTTCTAACAACTTAGCTGTAGTTCCATAGCTTTTCTTGTGTTGGTCTTTGTGATGGTATTTTAGCTATTTCTGATAAATTTGGTGTCCTTAAATTTGTTGTTTTTAGATTTTAGGATTTTATCTACATACATGTAGAAGAGTTATAGTTCCTTCCATAGCGTAACACAAACAGGTGACCCCCCCCCAAACTGTATTGCAAATAAAAGTTGATAAAACTACTCGGCTACTAACAACTATATGACCTTATGTTTTGACTCGTATTCATCCTGGTAAGAATACTGTTTATACTCTCCTGAAGATATCTCTCTTTCTCTCCTGTATAGCATGGGAGCTTGTCCACATTTCCCAGACAGGCAGATTTATCTTAGTATGGGAGCATGTCCACCTTTCCTTTATATGTTTACTGTAGGATGGGAGCTTGTCCACATTTCCCAGACAAAGATCACAGAAATGACCTGTTCCATGGGACAGGTGTATAACGATTGACAGTTTTCCACCACTTACTTGCCAAGTGATAAAAATTTGCAGGTCGATCATGACCGACAATTGTTGAAAAAACATCTTTTCATTTCTAACCTGATGAACGCAGAATAAATAAAATATTGCCAGTTTTTGTAAATAATCTTGATACATGTATGTACTTTGATATTCTAGCCTGTGGATTACTTTATTTTTAATTATTATCTGATATTAAAATGTATGAATGAGTGTAATAATTATTGTAGTATCAATATTTGATTGTAATTTGTGTATTTTATTTTGGTTTGTCATGCGTGATTGATTTGTGTGATGGTAGTGCAAAAACATGTTCTGTGTGATGTTCCCTTTATATCAACCTGATATATCTACTGTATGGTGTTTCATTAAAGTTGCATTTCCACTTTGAATTATATACAGAACACCTCCCATTGATAATTGTGATCACCATGAAAAATGATCAGTTAATATAGCAACCGATCTTGAAAAATTGTAGTACTCAGCTGTCATGCACTGAATTTGTATTGTTGTATTAAAACTAAATTCAGTGTCGTAAAC